TACTTACGTTGTCATACTACATTCATTATTCAGTTTCCCTGTAGTCTGAAACAGAGTAACAACCAAGGAAAAATATACTGTTGACCAGTACAAACTGCTCAACTACATGGCAGTTTGGTGTGTATTGAAGATTTTGGAATGGTAAAATTGCCAGCTTAATTCTTTGCTTTCTTCAACAGTTTGACAGCCAAACCTGCCTGTAGGTGCAAAAGCCATACATAGAGCCTAATGGACAGGATTTCTGAATTTCACTGTTGTTTCTACTGCTCGATCTTGCCTTAGTCTAGAGAAAATAAATGAAACCTCAAACTTTCACTTCTCATTTTTTTGAGCCAAGATTCGGTGGGTCAGTCAGAGAGTGGTAACCCTGCCTTTGTCTTTCCTCAGCCAACATTTATCAAAGCACCTCTTGTGGCCAGATAGCTATACTATCACAGAATGTTACAAAAAAGAAAAGGGTGTGTTAGTATCATAAGACTGAATCTCATACTTAACTTCCTCAAATCAAAAGAAGGAAAATCCTGAGCCCTTTTGTGCTTGTGTGTGCTTGGATGCACAGACCCTTCAGCACTGGCAAAGTGAAATTCTTCTTGCATTCATCTTGAAACTTCTCTTCCGTAAATAAGCCCATTGGGGACATATCCCCAAAGTTCTAGATGCCAAAAGTTGATAGCTAGAGAGGGATTAGGAATTTACATAAAACAATTCTGGTGATTTACCATTAAAGTATTTATATAATAAAAAACTGTTGGGGCTCTGGGTGGCTCAGTTGGTTAAGCGTCTGCCTTCAGCTCAAGTCATGATCTCGGGGTCCTCAGATCGAGCCCCACATCAAGCTCCCTGCTCAGTGGGGATCTGCTTCTTCCTCAACCCCCTCCCCCCCCCCCCGTTCATCCTTTCTCTCTCTCTCTCTCTCTCTCTCTCTCTCAAATAAATGAAATCTTTAATAATAATAATACAAAGAACATTGACATTTCTGCATCTTAACTGCTCGGATTCATATCCCAGTTTTGCTACCACATGACGAGATTTATTTACACTTTGATTCTCATTTACTTCATCTGTATAATGGGAATAACAGATCTATCTATATCATATGATGGTATAAGGATTAAGAAGTATATTCAAAATTGAGTTACAATTTTTGTGGTTCAGTCTTTCATTGTGCTGCTAAACAGAATTAGAAGTAATTGATCATTTGCTTTGTCACTGCTCTTAGTTCAGTGGAGGTTCAGTCCTTAAGCCTCTGAGATAAACTAGGTATTCACAATGTATTGGTTCTTTATTAAAGGGATTCTTAATTGTGAAATTTTCTTTATTTTCAATTTTCATATAAAATTTAGTATCTTGTAATATTTTCAAAAGAGAAATCGTGTTTAAACTCTTTTGTGAATGTCTCATTTAGTTCTATAAAATTGACCTAAGGAAATTAAAGACAGGTTAAGCACCTGTCATTTGCTGGTGCCATTACTAAATAAACTGGAGAAATTATTCCCTTAATTCCAACAGTGGGGACTTGTCTGTGCCCTGTAAAGCATTAAACTGTGTAAGGTAGAAACAATTAACCGACTTAAAAAATAAAAAAGTTTCCCTGACTCTGCATGAGGTATTTTGCCCTAGGAACTAACATGTTATATTGGTCCTTATGGCATTTAAAAACAACAAGTTCCTTATTTAGATTATTCATCTGCTAATGGTTCCATTTTTCTAGCACTTTCATTTTTTGGGGAAAAGTGAACTTGAAGTGACATGTAATGTGACCAGACTCTAATCATAGAACCTCAGACAATCTCGTGTTATTTAAAAAAAAAAAGTGTGAATATGCATACTCTTAAGTCTATATGCTAAAGTGGTGGGTTTAAGCACACTCACATGCATGGAGAAAGAGACAGCAACAGAAAATAAATATACTCCTTCAAATATCACTTAATCGTGAAATTATGAGACATAAGGTGCCTGCAGTCCTGGACTCATTTTCTTTATTATTTCATCTTATTGTTGCAGATGCCTTAGAAATCTCAGCATCTGTAATCAGCATATGTAATTTCTTTAAAATAAGTGCAATGAATTTTTTCTTTGTATAATTTTTACGTCTTTTGCATATGCAAATGTCTCCTCCCATTGAAAGTTCCTAAAGAACAGGAAGTGTGCCATCTCTGTCTTGCAGAGTTTTCTGTGATATGTAGATATATATTTGATGTTACCTGGTTGACAAGGCTGTAAGGATGAAGGGAAAGGCTTGTGTACCAAAACTATTTCTGATAATGAGGAAGATACTTAAAAACAACACATAAAAGAAGTATAAAGTAAGCCAAACTAAAATGGATGATGAAAAACTTTAAAGATATTGATGAAGATCTAAGGGGAAGGGGGAGGAGAGTAGAAAAATAACTGTACTTAAGAAAGTAAGAGCCAAAGACTTTTTTAAGAGTCACTCAAAAAAATATATATAGCCATTTCGAATATGCATCCAAAAACTATCGAATAGTCAAAATAAACTAGTATGTGAAAATATGCAAGAAAAAAATGTCTTCATGCAGTCACCTGGTTGATTTAAAATTTTAAACAAAAATATTTGCATAACATGCCCAATTTTATAGTAGGGAAAGAAATCATTTGCTTATTTTAAGAACAAAACGAGTTTAACATACTTCTCCCCAGTTCAGAGGGTCACTTCTGAATGTGAAAATTTATGGGATTAAAGAAAGGGAAATAAAGTTTCCAAACTACAAGTCTATTGGAATCATTGTTTATGAAGATTTCTTTTTGATGCAAAAAATTTTGTTTTAAAATCACCATGGCACGGATTTGTATTTCATTGTTAAAAAGCCAGTACAATTCTTGAGGAAATCTATTAATTTTACTGTTGAAATGAATATAGCACATATGGTGGCTAAAACTACTTGCTGTCCTAAACCTACATGTTGGGGCCTATACTAAGAAACATGTCATTTTAGTGAATCTTTCCTACACATGAAAAAATTAAATGAAGCCATTTAAAATGCATGGGCATTTAAGTGAGCACATGCAGGGAAAAAGAAAAAAAACAGAACAAAACCTAACAAGCATATAAATGTTAAGCAGAAGGAAGAAAATACTAAATTCTTTAAATGGAACTCCAAAGGAAAATTTTATGAACTTGAAGAAACAGCACATAGAACTCCCAGTTTCAAAAAGGTGAAGTTAGGGTGTTTCTGCTCTCTCAAAAATCACATTAGAAAAATAAGAATATGAAGAAAGAGAAACACTGATTTTATGCATTGACAACTAGAAGACATGTCCAACTCCCAAGCTGGAGAACTCTGAAAGAAAAATGGTAAAATGAATTCAAAACAGAGAAGGTAAAACCCAGGTGCCTGTCACAAGGATACCCACGGAAAGGAAATGTCATTCACCCTGCAGAATTTGAGAAACTTTTGAATTGGATGTAACATTTACTACAGAAGGAAAGGGTGGAAACGAGTATATTAAAAGTGTCTGCAAGGAGAAGTTAGACCTTCAACTCTCTGTCTCCATCCCTACCCCAACACAAACCCTGCGAGGATATATGTGTACTGGAGAAGCTCTGGATTGAGGGCAGACAGCAGCAGTAGGGTGACATAGAGGATTTAAAATAGGAAAATTAAGTGTAAGTGGGTATACCAAATGATGGTAAAACCAGTTTCTAACCGTGTCTGGTTCCAGAAAAACTGAACTCCCTCTGGGGGAAAAAATCCTCATAGCCTCATAACTTGAAGCTGCCTCCTACAAAATAATAATAATAATAATAATAACAACAACAACAACAAAAAAGCCAATTGACCAATTGATTAGCTTATAATTTAATTATGTATTTCTCAGGCATTATTTTCAATAATTAAGGCATTTGTGCTATGTAATAACTAACAAATCCTGAACTCTCATGGCTTAACGTAATAGAGGTTGATGTCTCACTCAAATGAAGTCCAATATGGCCAATGGCTCTCCTCTCTCTTGTAGCTATGTCATCAGAAGTACGTGGTCTCCAGGGTCCTCATAGCAAGGACTGGAATGGAAGCAGGAACAAACACACAGGCTCTTAACTGACTCAGCTCATGAGTGAGACATGTCACTTGCACTCAAGACCATTCACATGGGAGACGTAGGGTAGCAACACATGGAGTATTGGGTGGCCACTAACTTTTCCACAACACTGTGCAAACTTATTCTCACAAGGCACTCCATGTTCTTCCTGTGCACCAGCCACAGGGTTTGTGGTTTACTTCACTGAATAATTATAATTCATTTGAAATTTAAAAACTAATATCTTTGTTGACTAAGAATATAAAGATGTGCTGGCCTTGTGACAGGACTGTCTAGTCTCATTGTTTTGCTACCACTTCTAGTTCATATTGCCTTTAAACTAATTTTCAGATCTTTCCCCCTTAATGTTTATATCAGTGAGTATAAACCAGTGGCCAGCTAATCAAAGACTAATTTTTTTTTGTAATCAATGGGATTTTTTTGTCCCTGTTGCAAATATTTAATTTCAGATGTTTCTCCCAAGTTTTATGAGACAATTGTTTAACTAAAACAATTGTTGAAAACTCTTTTCTTCTTTATAATGGCAACAGGTGAAGATCTATAATATGTGCCATAGAAAAGTAACTGTGAATTCATCTATTTCTCAGTATTATTTTGTGCTTTATTTCTGATGTTCACTGAAGCAGGTTTGTAAATGAATATTAATATGCAGTGCTCTATAGGAAGTTTTATAGCATATCAATTGAAAGTAATTATCCAGGAAGAGTTTTTATATGTAAGTCAGTTTGGCAGATGCATCTCATTGAAAAGAAATAACTCTCCTGATTTAGAAAGATCTGTTTATCTTAGAAATACTATTATATCTGTTCTTTTTTGACTCTCTAAATCTATGCCTTGAATTACTTCTAACCGTAGTACAAGTGATTTTTAGTACTTGGATTCTGAGAGTATTGATCAATTTTTTATAATGTTTGGTTTCCTTATGTTTTCTTTTTCAGAGTACCCGATTGGCCTTGGACCATCTGGAGTCTGTTCCTGAGAAACTGAGCTTACTAGAAGATTTCAAAGACTTCAGAGTGAGAAAAAGTTGGCTTGTCTCTTTCAGTATTCCTATTTGAGTGAGAACATTTGACATCTTCCTGATGTGCAAAGAAGATTGTACGGAGGGAAGAAAGACCAAAAAAAAAAAAAAAAAAAAAAAACATTGGGGACTCTTAATACTCCACCTTATCAGAGTTTATTGATGTTGTTAAGTCAGGATCGAAAATATTGGAGCTTCTATATTACCACAATGGAGGAAAATAAAGATTTTTACCCTCACACAAGAAGCTCATTTGGCTTCCGAAAGCTTTAACTTTAATTTAGGAAAACTTAAGACTTAAAACCAGTTACACATTACATTCACAATAGATAACGTTTTTGACAAGCAAATTTAACTTATGGACTATCTTCTTTTTTTAATTACAAATTTTCAGAGTGCTGTTTGTTTTAGAGATATGATAGTACACAGGTTATCTCTATGCTATGGTATTTGAATTCAGATCCACAGAGTTATAGATTTTATATCTCATGCTGTTTATTGATAGAACTCTAACCACAAATCATTTCATTATCAAGGAAATTAATTACATGTGTGGGTTTACCTACTGTAACTTATTGAAGTTCTCATAGAAGAGACATGCAAAACAAATAATTCTGCCACCAGTCCTGCCAGACAAAGTTCAGACTGGAGAATACCTTGCATATCCCTTTAGGGACACATAATAATGAACAACTGTAGTGATTTATGATATCTTGGCCCCATATGGCTAAAGCTAGCAATGGTGAGAGTGTTGTTTGAAAACCATGAACCTCTTATTTCACATTGGCTTTAAAATATAACTTATGTTACAGTTAGGTTTTATTTAAATCTTATTTGAGAATCTAATGAGTAGGAAATACAATCTGATCATGCCATATTGATTATCAGAGGCACTGATATAATGTGGCTCTCAAGATCTACACTATCTTAAAATCACCTTTCATTAAGCATATTTTGATAGTTCAGTAACTAAACATTATTGAACAGGATCCAAGGTTGAGCTGACACATCCAGAAATCTAGGCTTTCACAAATAGAACAAACCAAGTGTTTCTAGTACATTTTGCTAAAGTTCCAATTTGATTATTTATTTGCAGTCTAAATCCCTACCAAAGGGTTATGAAACCAATGTCCAATGAGATGTGATTTTGACTCCCATTATTACCCAATGTGGATAGCAGGCAATATGTTATGCCCATATCCCTTCCACTTTTTTCTCTGTAGCTAACAGAAGTCATCTTGAGGGAAGGAAGAGCAGACAAGAGAAGGTGTTGGAAATAGGTGGCTTTTGTCACTGAAAAACAGGTGTCTGTCTTATGCCAGCATAAAAAAGAAAAAAATTTAACCTTCAGTGACAGCTCACTTTTTCTCCAGGATCCTGCACTGAACAGAATATTCATAAGTACAATTAAAAAGTTCTCTACTATTACCAAAAAGTTTTATAATTTTTTCATCATATAGGCTAGTGATTATCTACAAGTCTAGCTTATATATATACACACATATGGAGATGTCTATATAGTGAAGTTTTTAGGGAGAGTATTTTTCAAAGTTCATAATTGTACTTTCCAATGTTAATCATTAAAATTGAAACCTTTAGCTTTAAATGGAAACAAGTTCATAGCGAGTATTCTGCACAGTATTACGCAGTATTATGGAGCAGGCAGTAGCTATGTTCTAACCCTATATGACATTATTTTCAGATCCTCAGAGATACCCTACCCATGGACATTATTCCCCCCGCCTCTGAAGAAACTGAAGCTTGGAGTATAAAAATTAGTTGGAACTGCGATCTAGTTCCTTGTATTAACTACAAAGCCCATTTTCTTTGCCTTACCTGCCTCTAACTTGAAACCCACTCTACATATACTCTGAAGTCATCTCTATGATTAAAAAGAGCTTATTTCATCAACTTAATGAAAACAACTAGACATGGCCTTAAATAAAAATGCATAAAGCCTTTAGATTATGAGATGTAGATTGTTTCTCAAACCTCTAAAACTTTCTAAAAACCAAGATGCTGTCAACAAGAGCCCAAAGACTAAGCTCTGATCTGAGCTTATGTACCAGGCAGAATTACTTAATATCTTAGGTACTTCCTCATCCCTAAAATGTGGGGCTTGAACAATATTATCTCTATGGTTCCTATTCATACTGGCAACACTAGCATCTATGTGAAGATATATTTCACATGTAAGTTTCTTGATAGTCCAATGTCTATGACTCAGTAAATATAAGCTATAGTAAATACAAATCTCATCCTATTTAGATAGTCGGGTTTTTTCTTTAAAAATGTCATAGGCCCTCTTGTTTTTTTTTAACCTTATTTTGAAAGAAGTGGTTCAACTCTACAATTCCATATTTAAACTTTACATATTTGGTATGGTAGAAGGGAAATAGCTTTGGGCTTCAAGCCCAATCTGTCACAAATTGCCTAGTCTTGGGCAAATCATTCTTAACTTCCCCAGGCTATAACTTTTTATATATAAAAATGAGAACTTTAGAATTCTAATACCTCTTCTAGCTTGAACATTCAATAAGTTCCTTAGGACTATTTGGGGAACTAAATCCCATAGATAATTTTTCTTACATATGCAAATCAGTTGCCCTCATTTTATTCTAATTTCTCCCTAATTCATAATAGAAATGTCTAAATAACTGAGTATCATGATTGCTATGTTCCATCCTCTCCCCAAAAAATGAAGGAAAGGAAGAAGGGAAGCGGAGGGTGGGGGGGAAAGAAGAATGAATGAATGAATGAATGAATGAATGGCATTTTTCTTAATTTCTTTACAACTTGAAGCTCTTTATACTTTTGAGGGCAGATGAAGCATCCTTCAGTTTAAAAATCTACGTGATATATTGGTTAACGGGTAGAATGTTGCTTAAGAATTAATGATAAAAGAGGACTCTAGTTTTAAAGGTAACATTTAAAACATATTTTATTTGAGAGAGAGAGAGAGCACATGTGCATGCACACACATGTGCAAGCGAGGGGAGGGGCAGAGGGAGAGAGAACCTGGAGCAGACTCTGCACTGACACAGAGCCCCACACAGGTCTCAATCTCACAACCACAAGATCATGACCACAGCTGAAACCAAGAATCAGATGCTTAACTGAGCCACCCAGGTGCCCCAGTGACTTTTTCTTTTTTAAACAATATTTTGATGTCAGGCACTACTCCAAGAGAGAGTGCACAACATTCAAAACTGGCATGGTGTCATTAATGACCATCTGAGGACAACCCACTGTTATTTTAACCTTTTTCCCTTCAAGTAAAGTGTCAGTCATTTCAGACTAGCATAAGGGTTTGTGAAAAGAAGGCAAATAACCAAAGTGGGACCCTATGGTTCCTCAAATCTCTCTAAACACCTGTAATTATCAATACTTTCTTATTTTCATTTCAGGTACTGTGTTTACTTTCATCTACCAGTTTTGACATTGTTTTTTGTTTTTGTTTTTGCTTTTTCAGGATTTCCGCAGTTTATCTGCAGAGAGAATTGATGGGAGATATTCTAAATACAGAGTTCACAGAGAGTCTCTACAGCAGCACCGAGATGACATCAAGTACAGAGTCAGAAGCTTCAAAGTAATGCCCTTTATATATACATTTTCAGTCTTTGAGCATTATCTGTGTTTATGACTAGAGCCTTCAAAGCTGTCCCTGCAGGATTCATGGAAGGGTGCTTATAAAATGAAATATATTCCTTAATCTTCAGATCTGTGGGAGTAGAGAGTACAATTTCCAGAGATTGTACCTATAACTTTTTACTTGGAAACTCTCTTTAATTTTAGGCCATTATTGCTGAACATGTCTCTTGGCATTGATGTCACTTAAGAAATCATGTGCCAGGAGACCCCTGGTCTCTTGGTTGGTCAGGGACTCAGAATAGGTGGTTGCCCTCCACTGTGTGTCAGTCCAGCTACTCAATGTTGAAAGGCTCCAGAAGGTCAAGTAACACATAATACTTTGTAACCTCTAGTCTTGGCATGTATAATCATTCTTTTCCTCAGGATATGAACTCCATACAACTACTTCAGCTTATAGTTCATTAGTGTGGAATCAACTCAAGAGACTCAGAAGATTTGTCCATGTTAACAAAAAAGCCTACCATTCTCTAGCATCCCCAAGATCCACCTGGGGTGTGGGTGATTTTAAACCCATTTGGCCCTGAACAGTTATTAGCTTAGAGCAGCATTTCTCAACCTTGGCATTAACATTTGGACCAGATAATTCTTTGTTGTGGAAGCTGTCTTGAACATTATCAAACATTTAGCAGCATCCCTAGATTCTACTCACCAGATGCCAGTGGTGTCCTGCATTGCAAGTTATGACATCAAAACATGTCTCCAGCCACCGCCAAACATTGCCTAGAAAACAAAATTGTACCCCCATTCGGAACACTGACCTAGAAAGAATCCATCTATATATTTGAATGTACACTCCTAAGTCAAGGGGAAAAAAAGGTGAAGGTTCTTCTGTCTTTTTTATATTCTCACAGACTTCAATATGTATAAATATTCCTTACACTGTATATATCCACTTATTACAGCCAAATGTAATTATTTCTAAGAAGCTCTTTCCCTCCTCTGAATGTAATTGGATGGAATGCTCAGTGAATATAAAGACAGTGTTCATTTCCATAAGGCCTTCCCTAGCATGCTTAAAATGAGCTCTCCACTTTCCCCATCCCAAATAAAAACAACAGTTATACCACATTATTGATGCTCTTACTGTGCAAAGGGCATCCTCTGACTTTGTGCCTTTTTCCCTTTGTTTTTTATCATTTCGTATTCTTGACTATAACAATGACTGTGTTGCCTTGTATAGCAGATTCTAATTTCACTAAGTCATCTTCTGACCTCCCAAATCAGGTCCTGTATATTCAAGCATCTCTCTACCACTTGCAGGGGCTGCTGCTAACCTTCAACAGAAGTACAAGGGTCAGGCAGTCATAGCAAATAGTACTACCGACTCATTGCTGACCCGACCACATGAAGTTGCTGTTTGGAGGTGTCATGTTTTACATGCATTATGTCATTTAATTCTTGCAGCAACTCTGTCAGGTTGGCACCATTATTTGTCCTCTTTTATATTGAAGGTTGTAGAGTAATGATTGAGCCAGGATAACAGCCTAAATCTGCCTGGCTTCGGTCATCTGTGTCCTTGACTGCTAAGCTCTAATAGTGTAAATTTGGGCCTCATATACCTTAATTTTTCTAGAAATCACCAAATGTAGGACTGTGTTTTTAACACATGAAAATCCGTTGTCTCCAAAAATACGTAAACAATACATGCCTCTTAGTTCAACAGAAGTCTAGACGCAAATGAAACCTTTAAAACATTAGTTTTCACTATGGTTAGATTTGATACCACGTGACTCAGTACTATCTAGTGACACCCAGATTGCTTTAAATCAGTGTAATTTCCATAACAGCATATGGCAAAGCTATGAATGTTTAACATGTTCAGCAAGTAATCTTGTTGGAGTTCTCTTTAAAATTACATTTGCAGCTGAAGCCTGGTTTGTGAGTGAGGACAATGCTTAGCAAAATGAGAAATAAGTTGAAAATTTTGCAGACAGGTAGTGCAAGAGAAGGCCGCAAAGCACATTTTATGATGACATTCCACAGTAATACTACTTAAACATTTTAAACAATTGATCCATTTCAGTAATGAATATGTAGACTATCACCATTTGTAACAGATGTCTGGCCTGAAATAATGCAGTAATCTAACTCAGCACCCACAAGATAATATTTTTGTAGTTATTGAAAAAGAAAATGTGGGAGCACCTTTTAGCCCATTGTAGATACCAACAACAATTTGCTTATATGCTTTTTATGAAAATTTACTGAAAATGTTTCAAAGGAAGCATGAGCTCAGATGGACAATGAGACAGTTGTTAATCATTTCTTGGCTTCATGGATAATCAGAAGAGCTACCTCTGGTTCATTATTGACATCCTGAAGGATATGCTTCAAGTAAAAGGCATTGGTCCACTATCAAGAGAGAAGATGTCCCAGTTTTATATGATATTATTTCCACAGCTATTAACTTCCCTCGTATTTTGGTAGGAGAGTTCAAAGAAAAGGCACAATGCAGTGACTTGAATTTGTTGGTTCTCCTGATAACTGTGGTTCTGGGAAATCACTTACTGTAAGATTCAGTTTAATTTGACAAACATACAGCTACCTTACTGCAAAGCCCTGTACTACCTAATTGAGGTGAGGATACAGGACATATAAAGATGCAGAAGGCATGGTCTTTGTAGAGGGAATAGTTACCTATTTGTCTTTCTGAAGAGATTAATTCCTGCACCGTGTGCTAGAGCAGGAGTCAACAAACTACCTCCCATGAGGCAAATCTTACCTGCCAACTGTTTTTTGTAAATAAAATTTTATTGAAGTTCAGCCGCACATTTATTCACATATAGTCTGTGGCTGCCTTCATGCTCAGCAGCAGAGTCAAGTAGGTACAGCAGAGAATGAATGACTCAAAACATCTACTATATTTACTATCTGGTCCTCGAAAGAAAACGTTTGCCAACCCCTGGCCTAAAGAAAGGAGGAATTACCAACCTTGCCTTTCTTCCTCTGCACATATATACAGTATGTCCTCTTCTTTATTTACTAATCAAGTACTTTCCAGGCTCTTTGAAAAGTCATAATACTTATCCATGCATTCAACAAATACTCACTCAGTGTTAGTTATGTGCCAGGAACTTACTAGTTGCATGTGACCCACATCAGTGAACAAAACAGATGAAGCTTCCTGCCTTTTGGGGGCCTCCATTCTAATTATAGGACATTTGTGTTGTTTCAATACAACATTCAACAAACATTTGAGTTTCTACTATATATAAGCACTCTGCTAGGGGCTGGAGACAATGGCATAAAAAGAAAAATCATAACCAACCCTTAGGAATTCAAAAGCCTTCACACAAAGTAGAGTCCAAAAGAGAAAGGGATAAATACTCTAATGGAGGAGGCCTCAATAAATTGCTGTGAGTGTTTAAAGAAAAGAAAGATGCTTCCAAGGCTTTTGAAAAGCTGTTTGTCATGACAGGGCAGAGAAGTGTTTCATGCACATTTGTTTGGAAGTGGATCACTATTAGCATTACAGTTGTAGAATCCTGACTGCAGTCCTGTTGACAGACAGATAACTGTTGGAATAGCTGAACCATATTGGCAACGGGCTTCTCTCATTTTGTTGCTGTTGTAAGGAGGCAGCGAGACGTCCAGCGTAACCATACTGCTGGTGGAGAGAACAGTGAGCAGGAAGTGTACATCAGGTGCCCATTCTGTCTAGGTTACAGCAGCCTCCTGCTGTTTACTTCTGTGGCAATCTGATGGGTTAAATAGGTGATGGCAATTAAGGAGTGCGCTTATCCTGGTGGGTACCTAGTGACGTCCGCAAGTGTTGAGCCACTATATTGTACACCTAAAACTAATGTTATACTGTATGTTAACTACCTGGAATTTAAATAAAAACTAAAAAAAAATCATATTTCCAAAATCTTTCAAGATTTTCAGCAGGATCAATGTCCCCAATTTCTGAAAGTATAATATACTAAACTGACCAAGTTAATAGGACAAAGCCTGATCTAAAAGCTTATGTTTAGAATTCAATTCAAAGCTGAACCTGACACAACATTTCCTGTCTGTGTGTAGACAACAGAAGCATTTCATGGCCTCTTTTTCATCTAATTGGGTTTCTGTAGAACATACACCCTTCCTTGCTATCCCAGCTGTTTCAAATAGAACAGAATGTTCGAAAGTCAACCTAGCATTCCTAATCTGAATTCAAAGAGGAGCATGGTTTTGTCCCCAAAAAATCCCCATGCTGCCCTCCCTTTTTGCTCTCTACCCATACTAAATATATAGTTTTAATTAGCAGTGGATTTTATAGTAAAATCACAGAAGGCATGGTTTTTTTTCCCTTCCTTCCTCCTGAAAGGAAAATCATGATTTTCAATTTCTAGTTGAAGACTTAGTACATAACATCTTTTTAAAGAAGCAGATGTTTTGCAGGATAAGATTAAGTAGGTGAGGAAGTGTTGACAATGGTTTTCAGCACAGTTTATGAAGGCAGAGTCTGCCAAAGCCCTTTGTCATATTTGTTCAATGTAAGCATGTGTATGATATAAGTACATGCTTTTCTCCTGGAAGCTGTTTCTCCCTCCTTGAATCTCTCCATGATTTGTTTATCCTTTGCTCATAGCAATTAAAGGCTGTTAACACTTCCTCTCTTAGGTCAGCTATTTCTGTACATATCTTAAATCTTCTCCAATAGTAGCTACTGCACTATACATAACTCCTGGCACAATTCAAGTTATAGGTGATTTTTATTTAGTAACTATTAAAAAACATCACCAGTATATTATTGAGGATAATTTTACAGATGTTGCTTAGAAACAATAGTAGCAACCATGGGAAATTTGAGGATCTTTAATCCCATAATACTCAGGGTATCTCATTTATAACCATCCCTCTCCATGTTTTGATAAGAAATCATATATAAACTGCTATGCAGATACAGCTCCAGGCTCCCCCCATCCCCAACCAATCTCCCATCCTTTCAGCCTT